GCTGGAAATCAAATGTGACCGTAGCTCCCATCATGCTCTATCTAAACCAACAAGTGACCACTTGAAATGTCTTTCTTGACAGTGGCAGAAAAATCCACCCCACATGAAAGAAATAGTGTGACCATCCAGATTCACTGGGTCACATTTTGGAGGCATCGGACTTTCTAAGGGAGGAAACTACTGGGCACAACATTATTATGGATTTTCTGGGAATCAACAACCTTCTGGAGCTGACCGGACATGGTCAGATCTGCCGAGGACAAGAAACAACAACATATATATACAGAGGGGGGGCAAAAAGTAGGTGAGAGGGAATACGAGAGTTATATTAAAGCCACACTATAAAGCAACAAGAGAGCTAATGGCAACGAACTTCGTAATTTTTTACCTTGTCAAGAAGAGGATAACACCCGAGCCCTCTTAAAGACCACACACGCCAAGACATTAGGCCTCGACATATTTAGAGTGCATCGGTCCCCTCTACACGGTAGATCTTCAGTGGCCTCTCCCGTGACACTCCGGCCACGAGTTCAAGACAGTAACCGCTAGGTTACCGAGGCCGTATGAGTGAGTGAGGGAATATTAACGTCGAATTGTTCAGCTATATGAGGGCTTTTGGCGATGGACCGCGTAATTTTGAACCATGGTCAAGTGACACGGACGACACCTGAGCTGGCACCCCCCCTCTCCTAACTACCACACCATACCAGCGGGAGTACATTTAAGCTCTCGACAGATTTAGCGTGCATTGCTTCCCTACACGGCGGGTCTTCAGTGGTACTGGGCTCGAATTCATGACACGCTAGCTATGATCCGATGCCTTGACCACTTGGCTACCGCGGTCACGTGGCCGTATGAAAGAGAATTTCTTTAAAAAAAATACTGGTGTATTAATTTTACTGCTCTATATGTTCAAACTATAATCGTTCGTTAACAAATGCAAATTTGTTGAAATAATAATTAATGCATATATAATTGAAAATATTAAAATTAGGTATGAAATTGTTTCTAAAAGAATTTCTTACAGCTTAACGTATTGTATTAAACCAGCTTAAAATGTATATATGATAAATTTTATCAGTATACTTTCTTTTTAAGTTGCAATTAAATATATATTAAATAATCAATTGCGCCGCTTATCTGCCTTCAAAAAACCAAATAAAACAATATATCTATACATATAAAAAAGTGTATCGGGAGGTTGCAATACATTTATTTATACATATGGTTATAAAAAGTTGAATTTAACAAAAAAGGAGCACCAAGAACAAATTTTGCGAAAAAAAGAACAAATGAAGAAAGGGTACGAAAGACAGATACTTTTAAAGAAGTGGTTAGTTAAACTACTTAATAAACGTTAATTACAGTTTTACTGTTTGAGCAAAATGAGTATAAACATGAGTGGTTGTATAATTTGTAAAATGGGGGGGGGGTCCACCATTAGGCGGTAAGGAGGTACCCCATTCCCACAGTAAATTATAAATATTCCTTTTCATCTATATTTGTGGATAGTATACCAGTTAAAATCCATTTTAACTTACAATAGCTTAAAAATGTCTGTATTTAAAAAGTTATTATAGTATGTATGTAAGTAAGAAACTTTTTTCCTCTTTAATAAAATATTAAACGAATATTCGGATTAAAATTAAAAACTATTAACACTTAAGGAAAGAATTAAGATCAAAAAGTTTTATTTGAAAAAATATCAAAACCGAGTTTCAAATTATTTGTCGGAGGCGGTAATTAATTTGGAACAAGCCGTCACCTCATGTGTAGCGAACAACGGATATACTCCAATCCTGTTTAATTTCTAATCCAATCTTCTTTCTTAAAAGAACATCGTGTTAAGAACGTTTTTTATTATTCTTTCCCAAATTTCACTGACTTTCTAATCAAACGTTCCACAGTTTTGTTTTCTCTTTTTCTCCCACTGAAGTGACTAAAGTTTTCAACGAATCATAAATGTAAGTAGCTACATGTCTGAAAATTGATTAAATCGAAAGATCGCATGATATTGATCTTAGAAACAAAATAACATCGAAGAGTTCTTTCAAGATCAATAATTCAGAAACTTACTTTGTATAGATCTTCAACTTCCAAATCGTTAAAATTAATCTTATATTCGATATCAAAAACTTAGTACAAAAGAAAAAGGAAAAATGGGGGCAACTGAAGTATCTTTAATATGAAGTAACGTCTAATTCTTTAACTCGAAATCACAAACTATCCAACATACATCTCCGGGATAAATTCCTTTATGTTGCTCCCAAATCCTCTCACAACCCTATCAATCTACACCATTTCAAACATATAAAATACTCTTTTAGCTTACTCAAAACAATTTAAAATTAAAAAGTCTCACATTTTATTGGCAATGCTAGCGAAGCGATTAACGCCTTTGATTGCCCCTTTTTCTGATAGTTCAATACCATAACACTGACTATAAATCCTCGTAAGAAAATAAAAATTTAAAAAGTTAAAATTCAATACACAAACTTGTAGAATGAAGAAAAATATCAAAGAAAACATCATATACAATAAAATGAAATAGAAATACCTCTTTGAGCATTAACATTATAAACTGAATTTAGTACAAATTATGAAATTAATCTTTAAGATTCATACAGAAATAGTGAAATATTGATCTTTCATGTACTTATTTAACACGTTATGATAACTTTCACAATAAACGGTAAATAGAATCCTCTCTTAATAACTATTTAATTTTAAAAGTAATTACAGAATACGTCCTATCCTATTTGAATCCATTATAAAATATAAATAGAACGTTGTAGTGTTTAATAATTTGATATCTAAAATCATACATCACTTCTATTTAAAATTTAGGTAATTAAATAAATTCATTTTAAATGATAAATTTCTGATTTTTAAATTCTTGCAGAAATAGATACAAAATATAAATAAATTTTGTTTTATAGAGCTATCTACCTGAAACGTATATCATAACAGTAAATATTTTAATTTGCTTTCTTAAAAAGGAACTATGCGCTAGTTCCTTTTTAAGAAAGCAAATTAAATGTTACCAGAAATCCAATCAAATGAAATCAAATGCTTAACCGTAAAATATTTTTTTTTACTTTATTTTCAAAAAAACTAAACTCCATTTTTTTTTTTTGGCTGCTAGGGAAAAAAGTTGAAATATGTTTCGATTACACACTGGGATCTTCAGAAAATGTAAAATAAGATCATGAATTCTGTCTTTTTTTCCCTAGAATATTAATTGTCAAAAAATAAACTAATCATCAAAAAATCATTTTCAAGATTTCCAAAAAAATAAATTAATTCTGGAAAAAATATATCTCTATAACATCAGGGGAAAAAAACATTTTTATTTATTATATCTCATTTTGTACGGACTTTTCTAAAAACACACACAATTAAGTCTAACTTCAACAAGAATATCAAAAAATTTAAAACACATCAAATCAGAAAAGCAAAACCCATAAAAGCTAAATGGATAAATATTTCTGATAATTATTTGTAGTTACATTAAAACATTCTTCTTTTGAAATTACAAAAATTACCAATGCAGATTTTTATCTTCTATAGAATCAACTTTTTAAAACTCAACATAATAAACTATTCAACATTATAACAGGAATTCTTTTTAAAAAGAAAAACTAAAATGTCCCATTTTCGGATAGAGAGAAAAGTTCTTTAAAACTTACCTCAAACATTTACAATCCAGAAACGGGAACAAACCAATAGCTTCCAAGAACGAACAAACTTTGAGATGTTGGAACAGAAAAGAATTGAATAGTGTCACTTCTCATCCTTTCAGTTTCACAGAAAACACGAAAAATCCCACTCTCGCCCGAGAATTGACGAGAGAAACTGTTTCTTCCAAGAGACCAGAGTCAAACTGGAGTCCCGCGCTCTGCTTCGGAGTTGGTTGAAGTTGGGGGTGTAGTCTGCAGCGCCAGTTGTCGAACGATTCTAGTACAAAGAGGGGTGAAGGAACTACCAGCGACCTCTGGTGATGGACAGGTGACCTATCAAACTATTTGCTCAGTTAGGAGATTGAAAAAAAGTCATTTCTGTGTGTTGTTTGAAAAATATTCATATCGTTTGATAGTTTTTTTTAATAAGAATTAAAAATATTCGAAGACAATTTTTTCAAATATGGTGTACAAAATATTTCTCTTGTTAAATTTTTTAAGCATTGTGTAATCTAATCATTTTTCGTTTCCTTGTCAAAGGGGGTTAAATATTAAAAAGTCTTGAATAATTGTATTGTTTTCAAATTTTAATGTTAAAATTTAAAAGGAAGCGTTAATGAAAAAAAATTAAGTTTTTGTAAAATTTTAGAAAGAACAGTTTTAGCGAAAGGGATATATATTTATATATACTCATGGTTTTTAACAAATAAAATTTAAACGGTAAATTTTTTAATTGTAAATTAAGAATACAATAAATTCTATAAAACGTAAGATAATATATTTCAAATATCAAGCAATTGAACTTATCCTTTTTTTACTCTGATTACACGAGACTGTTTGTCACAATTATGTTTCTGTAAAGTGGTTAATATTTTAGAAACTTCAAATAAATTTCTTCAATTGCTGTTTATTGACGTTGCACTTTGATTAACACGGTACGTACCTTAATTTACATTAAAATAAATTTAATACTACAAATTATTATTCCTTGGGCCATGTACATTAGTCAATAACAATCTGTCGCATTATTGGATTATAGATATAATAAAAAAAAGCGTAACTATTACTCCGTTAACTTAAAATCAAAATCGTTAGAGTTAGAGTTATTTTTTGACAGAGAGGAGGAATACTTAATAATAATTAAGTTCTATTTTTTCATTTTTCAAGTATATTTTTTTAAACTTGTACTGGATGACTCTTGATATTGAAATAATTTTTTTTAAATATTAATTCTCTAATTAAATTTAAAAAAATGAATAAATAGCCACAAACAAAAATAATAATAGAACAGCATGTATAAAAAGGAAAATTGTTCGTTGTATCCTTGTAGCGCAATGGATAGCGCGTTGAACTTCTCATTCAAAGGTCGTGGATTCAAATTCCACCGGAAATGGTCTAATTTCTGAGAATGTGCGATTCATTTTTTACTATGCAATTTTATTATAATAATTAAATTTAATGAATAAACAAATAGTAACAAAAAAATAGGCCAAAACCATACATAGCAAGGAAAATTGCTTTCTATTTTGTCACTTAATATTGTGATTCTATCATATGTATATATATTTATATTAATTGTAAGTATATAATAAAAAGTAACTAAAATAAAATGTTTCTTTGTTGACCTTAGTAGGAATAGACATAAAAAATTGTATATATATATATATAAACATTTTTTTAAGTCTATTCCTACTAGGGTTTATATGTCTGGGTGGTAATTTTATTTTCTATAAATTTTAAAATAAAATATAGAGTTTTTAAATGTGTATATATATAGTATTAATGTTATTTTATCAAAACTTAATAATTTTATGCGTTACTGTTATTGTTCATTGCCCGGGAATATGTTTTGTAGTACTCACGTGGCAAGTCTTTATCTATAGTTTTGACTTTGATTTTAAAATATTTTAGTAATTATTTCAGGCTATAATATTATCGTTTTATATTAATAGATTATGATTTTATTTATAATAATTGTTAAACTCTTCTCTAGAAATTCAGGTGATGGTTGAATGGCTGAAAAACATTGTTTAAACCTGCAATCCTGGTTCCTAAAGCCAGGAGTTTGCTCTAGTATTTCTGTCGCTAAAACTATTCTATCATGTGACTATCGTTATCTCAGATATATAAAAATATTTCTTATATATATATATATATATATATGTAGCTTATCCTTAAATTATAATAGTTCAAATTATTGTATTGCAATTTAGCATGATTTTACAATTTTATGAGCAATAATATAACTTTATCTAGTAGCCGTGGTAGTCTAGTGGTTTTATAACGAACTCATAGCTTACCTATTATGAGCATGAGCCCTTGTGTTACGGAAGACCTTCCGTGTAGAGGGGCTGATGCAAGTTAAATCTACCAAGGCTCAGACGTCCACCCGTTGGTATGCTGGGGTGGTTAGAAGAGGGGTTGTCATCCTCGTCACTTGACCGAGGGTAGAAAATTACGCCGTCCCTTCCTAATAATTTTTTAATTGCTTTATAGTGATGAACCACGCATTTTTAAACCAATGAGTGAGTAAATGAGTGAATATCAACGTCCCACTGTTCAGCTACACGAGGGCTTTTGGGGGACGATCCGCGTAATTTTGAACCATGGTCAAGTGACGCGGACGACACCTGAGCTGGCACCCCCTCTCCTAACTACCACACCCCACCACGCCAACGGGAGGACGTTTGAGCTCTCGACAGATTTAACGTGCATCGCTCCCCTACACGGCGGATCTTTAGTGGTACTGGGATCGAACTAATGACATGCTAGCCATGATCCGATGCCTAGTCCACTTGGCCACTGCGGCACCACCATTTTTGAACTAAGGTCAAGTGACAAAGACGACTTCTTAACTGACATCCCTCGCTCCTAACCTCCTCACCACTCCACAGGGAAGATTTTGAGCCTTTCTACTCAGTAGGTATTCAGTGGTATCAGGCTTCGATCACGAAAACGTAATCCTGATCACAAGATTACCGTGGCCTCCAAAGAAACTAGTTGGAGCCTCGGTTTAATTTAATGTAATATATTACTACAAGCAATGTTAGGTCTATTTATAAAATTCTAAAAAATCTACTTATAATCCAAGCTAAAGTTTAATATTTATATACCATTATTTCATACGGTGCCTTCATTTTGAAACTTTAAGATGAAATAATAGAAGAAATAACAAACACTATATCAACTACCATAAATCAGGACATGCAACAATATATTACACGTAAATATGGAGGCGACATCAGAATATATAGACAAACAGTGTGGATCCGACAACCAGTCATAACTGATGAATTAATGTACAAGGCTCTTCCAGAATCATAAATTCAAATATATGGTGCCCATTCTATGTATTGCTAAGCCCACTTTGAACAAATTTTCAGGCGTTTCAAGGCGGAAAAATCTTCTTCTCTTTTCGTTTATTTTATTTATTTTAAATAGGGCAACGATATCCCTTTTTTTAAAAGGAAAAAAAAAAATTGTAATATTCTCATTGGATAGTCATGTATAAAATTAAAGTCATTTTTTTTTAAAAAAAAAAAGAAACCTTTATCGGAATAATAATTAGAATGTTTGTTTTAATCCCATTTACAACAAAAAAAAAACTCAATACGTAAAATTCTCATTGATTATACTATACAGAAAGATTTTGCTTCACAGATATTTTAACGAAGAGTTAGACGGCAACACCAACACGACGAGAAAAGGAAAGGAAAAACGAGAAAAACAAATTTTCCATGTTTGTCATAAAATTTTAATTAAAGGTTATTAGTTCTTTTAATTCGCGTTATTATCTTTCCAATCTTCTTATCCTGCTCTTCAAATACAACCTTCACATCATAATTAAAATAAGAATAACTTATAGATTAAGTTTGTTTTAAGATTATTTGAACAGGATGAAATCAAAACATTTCAGTTTAACTTGATGTCGATAAAAAATTGTATTGAAGATCGAAATATAGCATGAAATAAAAGCATATGATGCTCCTAGCTTAAAAATTTTTGATTGACCTTGTATAACCGTACCGTATGTACTGTAAATTCCGGCGTGAGTAAGTGAGTGAATAGTAACGTCTCACCATTTAGCTACTCGATGACTTTTGGGGATGGACCTCGTAAATTTGAACTATGGTCAAGTGACGAGGTCAACACCTGAGCTAGCATCACTACACATAACTTCCACTCCACAGCAACGGTAGGACGTTCAAGTATCGACAGATTTAACGTGTATCGCCCCAATACGGTGGGTCTTCTCTCTCTCTCTATCAGCGGTACTAGACTCGAACTCATAACACTCCAACCTCGAGTCTGTGACCTTGACCACTAGGCTACCACGACCACGTAAAATCCAGCATATAACACGCACTTTTGTCACAAAAAATTAGATGAAATTTTCGAGTGCGCGTTAAACCTTGGGTATAAAAATTATTGCTTCAAAAATAAAAAAGACATGTAAAAAAACCTATAATTCTACATAGATTATATTGTTTATTTCAAAGAGATGATATTTCTAATAACTTAAGGGGTCTTAGTTCTAGAAGTATACTATTTTTTCAAAAGCCTACCTGGAATAAATTATTTCAAAAGAAAAGAACATTACGAGTGTACATTTCAGGTTCGTTCGTAAAAATAAGGGGGTGCGTAATATACGACAAATATACCTAAAAACTAAAAAGTGCAGCTTGAAAGTAAAGGTGAGCGTAATAAAAATTTCACGATAATAAAAAACTGCATTAGAATTGGATAAATGTTAGTGACTATTTGATCCTACAGAAACATTAGTAAAATTAATATCTGAATGTTATAAAAAAAAGTAATACAAATTTTTCTGTAACGTTAATTCCTACTTCGTTAAAAAATATACTGGCGCCATCTGTTGCAACTAGTTGTAACTACGACAGAAATAACGCAGAATAAATTTAAATTTAAAAAAATAAAATTTAATTAATGAATTATTATTTGAAAAAACTGTATTAACATCCAGCGTCATCAAATATAAGTTTAAAAAAAATTTGTTTCAACTTGAATGGATGAATAGAAAGTATTTTATTAGCAATTGAAAATTTGAATAAGAATTACAGTCGACTCTCGCTAATTCAAATCTTCGATAATACCAACCTCTCACTAATTCGAAGTATATGCTCAGCCCCTAGAAAAACTCTTGATATTTCGAACTAAAACAATACGTTTTGGAACATTATTAATAATATTTCGATGGAAAATCTGTTCTTAACGAGACTACAGCACGCGATAATTCAAAGTGATCTTATAAAACTCGTCAATTTGAACACTCAATTTCATTTCACAGTCCTGTAACAAACAGATTGGAGCTTACATGTTTTGTGTTTCATTGACTCTGCGTGTCTCCCATTTGACGTAGCCCCTTTGATGACCATCTGTCTGCTACCCCTTCTTGGAGTTTTCCTGTTCCTCAGGTGAAAAGACACTTTTATTGCTTTCCTTCAAGTGGACAGTAGACCGACCGCACTTGTTGCCAGACGTTCTGTATAATATTTGCACTGTATAATATACACTTTTTAAAAATACTTCAAAATAATTATATATATACTAGTGTCCAAAAGTTAAGCATAAATCGTAAAATGCCAAAACCATAGAGTGAATATTCGTAAAATTATTCCAAACTTCTTGAGGATATTAATTGGGTGAAGAAGAAACATTGGGTTTATGCAAAACTTTTCAGTCGACTACGTCCTGCATGAAACAACATCGCATGTCGGAACGCGGAGAAACCGATTCACGCAGCATAGGCAGTTCAGGCAAGTTTCGTGCAGCTGCTATCCGAAGGAACATTGTTAACCATTAAACAAGGTGAATGATGGCACAAAGACCCAAATTTGATATGTTTACGAAAGGAAGAATCGTCGGAATGCTGGAATTCTCACGATCACAAACCAAAGTGTCTCGAATTCTGAATGTGGACCAGTCTGTGATCTCAAGACTGTGGCAGAGGTTTCAAAGAACTGGAGATGTTACCAGACAACCAGTATCAGGTCGACCAAGAGTCACAACCCCTCGCCAAGACCGATATCTGGTAATAAGAGCGCGACGTCAGAGGGGCAGTACGGCCAGAGAACTGGGTTCGGCGCTCACAGTGGCCACAGGAATACGAATTTCGAGACAAACTGTTTACAGGAGACTCAATCATGCTGGCCTGTATGCCAGAAGACCAGCAGTTTGCATTCCCCTCCCGTCGGCGCATAAACGCGCTCGTTTGAACTGGAGTTTGAAACATCAACATTGGAGTGTGGGCCAATGTGATGTTCAGTGACGAGTCCCGGTTTAGTCTGAGTAGTGATTCTCGGCGGGTAACGATATGGAGAGAACGTGTAGAATACGTTTTGAACCAAGAAACATTACGGAAAGACATTTTCC